TAACAAAGAAATGATGGCTGATGAATAATTAAAATGCATGGGGAAATGAAAAAATTTCAGTTAGTTGCTTTTTTATTAGAAGGATTTACAAATGAATTGTATTTTACTTTTATCCATGAGAGAATGACGATTAAGAAGAGAAAATACCACAAAATGAAGAAGAGATAGATTAAGGGAGCTTACTTTCCCACGATTCTTTTTTCCACTTAACTCTATTTTGTTCTTTCTCTTTCCTATTCTACCCTTGCCCTACATTAAAGTTTTGATAGCTTAAATTAAGAAAAGTTCACAGAAAAAATAAAATAAATAAAAAAATCGCAGTGTCTTCTTCTCCTTCATTGTGTCTTTCCCACTTCTCCTACCCAAAGCTACTCTCAGAGCAATTCATAGAATAGAACAATCATTCACCTATGGTCCTACTCAAAGAAAATACTCTTTAATTATTGATGAAAGCTTAGCTATGGATGAAGGCCAAATATTAAAGTCTAAGTTCTAGAGGATTTTAGACATGGTGGGTATCGGTGATTTGAGTGGAATGACAGAGTTTAGTAATGCTTCTAATCCTCAAGATACTATGCATGGTATGTTTAATTTCTTACATAATATACGACAGGGGTGGAATGGCAAAATGAAGTAAAAATAAATTAATGTTGGGTAAGGATTAAATAGGAAAAAAAGAAGAAGAACAAAATTGATTAAAAAGTATTTTTAATATGAAAAATATAAATTGATCATATTATCCTCATTTAATTAATAATTTTAATTTTTAATATTTACATTAACCAAAGGCATTTGATATTTTGAATGTTTCATCATTCTCTACCTTTCGCCACATAGATATATAAATATATATATATGTATATAGATTCGTATAACTCAAATAAATAATTAGGTGTGCATTAGTAACTGAATTATTGTAAGAAACACCGAAAGCTATGGTTTGGGGTCCCAAGGAATAAGCAGGAGGGCAGGAAATGTAATTGAGAATCAGTTTGACCCATGCAATTGGTGGTGTGTATAAATCTGATTATTATTTTTTAATTATCTTTAATTAGTTTATTGCATTGCTTTTTACCGGCTAAGATAGCAACGGTCAACCCCATAGACTTCAAGTCAAATTTGCAAATTCAAATAGGTTATGTTATGTGTGCTACAGCTAAAGATATCATGGACTGACCTTAATCAAGTTTACCTACCTTGACCATTAATATCTCAATTCTCAATTCTCAATTCTCAAGTGGCTCTTTGAAAGAAAACAACCGTCTGTGTCATTAGACTAAATAATCATCGATGTATTACGAAAATTTATACGTGAAGGAAAAAATAGGAGCCAACCACGACTTAAATATCGCTTTAACTTTTAAAATTGTAATCACACACAGGGCAAAGGTTAGGTTCTTAGATGTTTTTCATTTGAGTGCAGGGTGCAGTGATCAGATTTGTTGGTGCACTGCACTGACACAAAGCTAACGCTAACCATAATTAGGCTAGCTAGTTATAAGCTGAACGAGGATATAAGAAAGAGAATAAAAGAATATACTCTTTAATTTTTTACCATCAAGATTTAACTATTTTGATGATGTGAGGGAATGACTGCAGGTGAAATTGTGTGGTTAAAGCCTTTGATATTTATGCTTACTTTTACTTTTAACCGAATACTATTATTGTAGGAATTTTGCCCATTTATGACTTAGAAAAGTTACTTATTACAGAGCTTACCAAATAAAAATGTCAAAGTAAAATGATTTGCACAACTCTTCCGTCACACCCTCAATCAACAGTTCATAGAGAGAGATTAATTACACTTTTGCAAAGCCGTCCAATGGGTGATTGCTGTCTGAAAGCGAACTACTTCATTATTTAGAGAAAGCAACACTTTATAAAAGGCCTCGCGTACACAGAAAAAACTTGTGTTATCTCATATTTTATACATTTTTTAATCTATTTTTCTCATCATGCGATGAGAGACTGGACGGTCTCAAGATAAGGGCAACCTGCCCAAGTAAGATTTTTTTTTTCCCCCTATAGTTAGTATATAGGTTTAAAGCTTAGTCCAATCCAAAATCTAACCTCCAGCTTTAAAGGAAATCTAGCCCGACTCATTTTAACATTCTGAATCCGTAAAGAGAAAGGTGAATGAAATATATCACCATAGAGCGGGGAATTAAACCTCGACTTACAGTCGATTTGAGTTGCACACCCGTTGAGAGTATAAATGCAATTCTCAAAGTGTATATATATAATTTACTAATGAAACTATATATGAAAACCGACTACATGCATCTTTTATAAACTTGCACTAAAAATATGCATGGTTCACTTATGAAGTAATGTTTCTTGATCGCGTAAACATATTCTTACAAATGCACTGACAAGAAGGGGGAAAAACTTTAACATAAATTTATCTTATCTAGCAAGGATTCCATATCTATGAATCTTGCTTTATTGTATTGAGCAAATCTTGTATACGTACATACTTAGATACAATCGTATAACTAAGATCTTAATTAAGATTTCTGTAATCATACTAATTTTTAAAGTAATTCTCATCAATGATTATTGGCTCCTAAGTTCTTAGTGAAATTCCAACTCAACAAAAAAATATCAAGGGCCAAAATGAGTTTTACAACAGATCATCATGAACTGAGAGACTTAATTAATTTTAAAGATGGGATTAGACAGTAAATGTTTCTAGAAACTTGGTTAATTAAAATTCCCTTCCAACGAAGAAAAGACAAAGCAAAGATTAGTTAAAAAATTAGGGCTTTGAACCCCACATCATGCCATAAATTTGATCCTAATCTTTTTTGAAATGACACCCGGCCTTAAATAAAGAAAGAAAACAAAGCAAAGGGTTAATAGAATAAGGAACCCACATGAGCAGATCTTTCTAGCTTTAAGCACGTACAATCTTAGCTGTTAAACAAGTTCAATTGATCTCACTTTTCTTGATTATCCGTACTAAACACGGATTAGTGTTGTCTGGAAATAATTAATCAGGGAAAATCTGATTTGATATTGTGACTAAGAAACGTATCAACATTTCATGCATTTTAAGGTTGGTGGCTGAAATAAATAAATAATAAAAATTAGTCTCTATGCACGTGTTTCGGCGCATGCGAGAGTTTTTTTTAATAAAAAAATTTAAATTTATTTTAGAATTAAAAAAAATAATAAGTAATTATCTTAATATTTGCATTAACTAATGACATTTTTTGGTATTTTGAATATTTTACAATTCTTTGCATTTTGTGCTATATATATAAATAAGATTTTATGATGGTGGTAAAGGCAAATAACATATAGTAATCTCTTTCTGATTGTCTTTGTTTCTGGAAAATAAAAGCAACAAGCATGGACTGTAAACAAATAGCATTAACAATCAAATTAAAATGCATGTATATATCATTTTTTTGCTAAGATCTCAAGAAACTAACAAGTAACAAATCCTTATCCTGAGTTATCATATCAATATGTCACGTTGTGTAACGAATATAGGAAAATTATTAAGTGAGTTTTTTGATACTTTAACGGTGTGTGTGAGAAAATTCCCTTCTTTAATATCGCTTATTTCTAAAAAAATTGAGTGGTTTCAAACATTTCCCCACGAATATATAAACCTATAAGTTTCCCCAAAAATAATTCAAATTCGACGGAATTTGTCCCAAAATCTATCAACTTATATATGGACAGATCATCAGTTTTTCACACCATCAGCCTCACCCAGAAAGCATCACAAGTTCACAACATAAAAAATCCACGCCGCGTGGGTCCATAAAGCATCATCATACCAAAAATATCATAGAAGATAATAAAAGGCAACACGTGTCCCTTTGTGACGTTCCAAAACCATCAATGTCCTGAGAATTATAGTGCCCCAGTGCCCAAAATGGCATCACCAAATTATATTTAATTCATATGCAATGGTGATTCCTTGGAGCAATCTCCTTAAGAAGTAAGGAAATCCAACACCTGGAAAAAACCCATTGGTCTTGTGGTAATTTTCAACTTAAAAAACTCCACCACCCACTAATTTTGTGATTATAAAATGTTTTAGACTATGCTTAGTATGCCATGGAGCTACTAATTCTTCTTGTCCAGAGGCATACGTGGCCTCAATCCATGGGAACCCTATTTTATCCCTTGTCTCACTTTAGCATCAAGACAACTTAAGCTGATGGATTTAGATCCTTCCTTGATTATGTCAGCCAGTAGAATAGCATGTTTTCGGATTCCTAAAATGCCCTTGTGTGAGCCAAACATTTTCATCTGCTTGATTGAATCATTGCAACCACATGATTGCTTTAATATTTGAGTGTTGATCATGTTGATGTTAAATCACACCTCAAAGGTGGGGGCACAAAGATGGTACATAAAGATTTTTCTACTATGTGCATTTAATGAGTAAGCGAGTTCTTCATTCTCTAGAAAGGTATAGATTAATCACAATTCATTAGATTCTGTTCTCGTTAAATGAGCATTCGAATCAATAACGCATCTATAAAGCGATTAATTAAAGGCACAAAACCATTTCAGACAAATTATAAATGGAAAAAGTGTGGCAGGGTGCTTTTCGCATTACAATTTTGATGTGATCAACTACTCTTGGTCTAGTGGTAGACTAGTTGATATAAAGAAAAAAATAAAGTCAATGAGGTCTAGTCTAATGGAAAGGACCTTGATTTTCATACTAGTGGTCTTAGATTTCAACCCCATAATACCTTGATAATATATATGGAAAAAACTCCCCTTCCCGATATCGCTCGTAAAACAAATAAAAATTGATGATGGTATTTGTGATAGATCAGATCACCGTACCTCAAACAGTGGAAAGTATAGGAAGGATTTGAAAATGACAGTTGACTGATGGAACAAAAGTATGGGCTATGGTGCAGATGTATAAATATGCAACAAGCACTAGCCAAAATGCCACAGGATTAGGAAGACAAACTTTAGGTAGCATACCTAAGCACAGCACAAACTAAAAGTTGTGCTTTCACATGTATTTTGGGGTGATGGCAGGTCATCAAATGGGTTGGGGTATAATAGAAGAGGAGGGTTGGAGAAAGGGTCCTTGGACTGCAGAGGAAGATAGGTTGCTTATAGAATATGTAAGGCTTCATGGTGAAGGCAGATGGAATTCTGTTGCTAGGCTTGGAGGTAACATATATATATATATATATATATATATATATGCAACTTCACTCTCTTAATCTCAGCTCAAATTTTAATATGCATATAATTTTACCCTTTTTTATTGTTAATAATTTTTACTGCCAATGGCCATTTTTCTTGTGCATCCATTGAAAAAATGTTTGGTTTCTGTTTTTTTTTATAGGACTGAAAAGGAATGGAAAGAGCTGCAGATTGAGGTGGGTGAATTATCTGAGGCCAGACCTTAAGAGGGGGCAGATAACTCCTAATGAAGAGAGTATAATTGTAGAGTTACATGCTAGGTGGGGGAACAGGTAAATATTTTTATATACTTTTTGGTTCTTTTTTTGTTTGAGGTTATTTGGTAATATACCAAAGGGTTTAACTAATTTCTGTGGTGAACAAATTCAGATGGTCAACAATTGCAAGAAGCTTGCCTGGTAGGACTGACAATGAGATCAAGAACTACTGGAGAACCCATTTCAAGAAGAAGGCAAAAGTGCCTTCTGAGGCCTCCGAGAAGGCGAAAACTCGTCTACTAAGGAGGCAGCAGTTTCACCACCAGCAGCAACAGCAGCAGCAGCAGCAGCAGCAGCAGCAGCAGCAACAACAACAACAACAGCAATTGCAGCTGATTAATCAAGCAGAGGTGAAAAGAATCATGGCCTTATTGGATGAAAACGACAATAACAAAATCTCATCCTGGCCTCAAGTGAAGCAAGACATGGACGCTTCTTCTGCTGCATACCCTCACCACACAGCTGATCACCAGGAGCAAGGCTTCTTCTATTCAATGCTCAATGGCAATGTGTATGTGCCTGAAGCCTCCAGCAGTGAGGACAGTTTTCTGTGGGATGGTTTGTGGAACTTGGATGATGTCCATGGAAATTTTGGCACAGCAGCAGGCAAAGCTAGCTTCCACAACTTGGTTGTTCCTTTCTGTTAATTAAAATTCGGGCAGCTTTTGATTTTGTTTGGTGTAATATTTACTAGCTTGTATCACCAAAATGATCCAAGGCTCTCTCTCTCTCAAAGTGGAGTGGAATTTGGGTTGCAAAAGATATGCAATCCAGGCTTAATTAGCTATTTATTTTCCAATAAATTGTCGACCGCTTTAATTTGTATGAGAATTGTAATCAATGGAAAGTTGTTCTTGGAAATCAAAATTTCATGTTAGTTTTGAAGCATAGACTTGCATATTTTTCATACAGGTTTCACTTTCTCTTCTTTCTCTTCTTTTCTGTCTTGATCAGGATGAAAACAGAAAGCATGAAAGCACACATGATTAGTACTAGATTACTTATGTCAAGCTTTTAGTGACATCCTTGTCGTCACACTCTTTATGCTGGTTTTAAATAATGGATTAAGGGAAATGCAATCCTATTGTATCATTAAAAAAATCTCATGGAGATTCACTAAAAAAAAAAAAAAATCTCATGGAGAAATGCAATCCTATTGTTTTCTACTCATTCAAAACAATATTATTCTCAAGAAATTTCTAAAGACACGAACTTATTACACCAAATTTTGTTCATTAAATAAATAATATCCAGAGTAGCACAGGTAGGAAATAAATGAAACACTACCACATAATTGGAATTTAAAATAATAGCGTCTCTAGTACTATTTCTTTTGTTTGTTTTTTTAAACAAAATATACTGTAAACTACCCTAATGTGCGAGAAGTGATATCAAACTCACGCGCAAGGAGGCGAATACACTGTTTTGGTCAACTGACCTAACTCACATTGATAGTAATAGTCATTTCTTTTTCTTAAATCTCATGTACGATAATTAACCCACATTGACAGTTATAGTTATTTCTTTTTCTCAACTCTTGTGGACGATAATTATTGAAGACAATAGAAAGTCTAGCCCAATTTTGTGCTTGGATCAATGAACTTGGACTGCGATGTAATTAAGCCCACCACCATTTTAAGAGGACAAAAAAGAGAGTTGGATAATTTTTCGTCAAGCAGCCCAAACAAACGTACCCGCGATAGAAACAAAGGTCTCGTTTTGTTCACCTTCAGCTTTGATTTTCTTCTCCGGCTGTCTTCAACCGTCTCCGGCCATTTCGCCGCACCGACGACCATCCCCAGCCCAGGCTCTGATTTTCATTGCTCTCTGGATCTCTCACCCTCTTTCTCACAGATCTCGCAGCTATCTCCAAATCTCACAGCTCAATCTCTCGCATCTCAGTCACAGGCAAGGAAGTTTCTGTTATCTTTTTTATTTTTATATATGTTTTTTTATTATCTCTTTATGTATAATTGTGAAAATTGTCTCATGTTACTCTTTCGGCCGTAGCTGATAAAAACTAAGTTGGGTGCAGAAAATTGAAGCTGGGTTTTGCTAAATGGAAAAGTTATTGTTAACCGGGTTGGGTGTTTGTCTGATGCTTAACTGGGTTGGGTATTTTTCTGATGCTTTGCTGCTGTTAAAGACAATGGTAATTGTGTTAGGCACTAGTTCTTCTAGAACAAAGACAACCCAGAAGTTGAAATATCTATTTTCTTGAAACGTTTAGAAAAAAACAATGTGCAGTTAATCCTGCATTTAGTCTTTCTCCCATAGTTCTGTAATGTCCTATTTAGATGGCGTGTTTTGAATCTATGTTCAGGCCAAACATATACTAAAGAATGATATTTTGGCGCCATAACTAAATTTATCTTATCCTGCATATAGTTTCCTGGTTTGTGTGATTTTAATCCTTCTGTAATAAAAATTCTGGCTTTAATACGTTGTCTTGATCTATTGTTCGAAACATTACCTTTCCTGTACCTTTTGCATTTCTTATTGGTTAGCCACGTTTGCATCACAGGATTTGAGCTACTATGCCTTTGGAAGCTTGATGATGGCATTGCGTTTCACGAACGATGCTCATGCCATTATGCCATAAAACTTTGGATAAAGAAATGGAGACTAAAGCCTGAGCCATGCATATCACTAACAGGTTAATATCACTGATTAGCGCTGATAAGTTCTTTTTATAAATGGAGCTGAAGACTGAACCATCTATATCACTGGGAACTTTGCTTTGTTACTTGTTTGTTGCCGATATGCATCTCAGCTATATCAAGACTGATATATTTTCTGTTGCAGTGGAGATATTGGTTATCACATTTTAATCTGTTGAACTCACAATATGGTTCTTCTTGCTTAATTGTGTTGGTTTTGGATACGGAGATGGACATTTGTGAGCATGAGTGTTCTTTTTAAGTATCATTTAGTTCTAAATATGATCATCTTCCTTATTTTGCAAGAATGGAGTTAAACAACAACACTACATCTTCCTCCAAGTTAAACTTATGTTTCATAGAGTTTAGTTTGTGTTTTTATAGGTTTTGCACAAACAAATCTATATTCTCATTTGCTTATCTACTCATGAATTTGACTTTTGTATAAATTCTGTGGTTTGCAATTGCCGGGATTTGATGTTATCCTAAGAAAAATTAGACAGAAAACAAATTTGCATTTTGATTAATTTGTGTTGTGTTATTTTGGTATCAGTAAATTTTTGTTCTAATTCTTGTGTTGATATAATGGATATCTTGGATATCTTGTTATGAACTTAGTTGAAATGAAAAGCTTTCTGATCAGTTTTGGTAAATATGTCTTCCTTATTTTGTTCAAGGTTGTGCAAATAATTGAAATTATAACATGGTTGCTTTTAAATTTCAGTGTCATTTTTAATGGTTAAGTTCTGATTCGAATGAATTATGTTTTATGCCATCAAGATATATTGAAGATATTATCTTTGTAAATTTTATTTTATCAATATATTTATGAATCAATATGAGAAATTGTTATCTGGCAAAATGATTGGTTTCAAATATATTGTAAATCAAACACAAAATAATATTATCTAGAAATCCATCTTCTTAGTTCCATATTAGACCAAATTCATCATAGTATTATTTCTCAGCTAAGGTGTGAAATTTACTTGCAGATGACAATAAAGGTGGTACAAAAAGATGGGAGAGAAGAGACCTTGGTTCATTAAGTTTATTCCTACTTGTAATTTTGATATCTTCACCAGCTCGCGCACAATGCCCTTCTTTACCTTCAAGCCCTAGCCCCAGCCCTACAAAAATGGTGGGACCCAGGAGACACATCCTTCCACTCTTCCTCTTCTCTGTCTCCGTCCTCTTCTTCTTCTCCTACTACCACTCCTCTCTCCCCTTCTCCCCAGACCCAAACCCTAATTTCACTCTCCTTGCCCAAGACCCAAACTCTAACCCCAATTTCACCTTCATTGTCAAGGTCCTGACCTTCAACCGCCTTGAATCTGTTGCTCGCTGCCTTCGTTCCCTCGCTGCTGCCGACTACTGCACTGACAAGGTCCAACTCCACGTCTACATTGACCATTTTGCACTCGGGGATGCATCTTCAAATGTTGGTCAGAAGTTGCAGGAGTCACATCGGATTTTGGAGTTTGTAGACGGGTTTGAGTGGAAATATGGGGACAAGCTAATCCATTACCGGACTGCCAATGCGGGCCTGCAGGCCCAATGGTTGGAGGCTTGGTGGCCCAGCTCGGACAACGAGTTTGCGTTTGTTGTGGAAGATGACTTGGAGGTCTCACCACTTTATTACAAGTTTCTAAGAAGCTTGATTGTGAATTACTATTACAATGCCTCCAACTATCGTCCATACATCTATGGGGCTTCGCTGCAGCGACCGAGGTTTGTCCCAGGTACCATCCTATTTTGTTTTCTTTATGTTTTTGGAATACCAATCTTTGAATGCCTTGTCTCTAATTCAATTTCTAAAAGAAAGTGTAAAAGGGCTTATTCTGAATTGATTTTACTTTGGGCTTTTTCTGATACTGGTTATCTGATCCGAGTGATGTAAATCATGCAAGAACGTTTATAAAACAAATCAAATTTCAGTTTCGAATATTTGGATTTTAATAAATTGGTGAAGAAAAAACAAAGGTTTCAGAAGAGAATTTGTTCCACTGAAATCATCTTTTGGCTTGACATATTTTCACTCTTCTTATTCGGGAATAAAGAAAGGAACTGAAAAGGATATGTGTATATATATATTTTTGATTTTTAATTTCCTTTTAATTAGTTTGATTCTGGCTTATAGGTAAACACGGGAACAAAATACAGTTGGATGATAGAACACGACTCTTCTTGTACCAACTGGTTGGCACTTGGGGTCAGCTTCTCTTTCCTAAACCTTGGAAAGAGTTCAGGTTGTGGTATGACAATCACAAGGCAAAAGGCATTAAACCATTTCTTGATGGCATGGTACTTTTTTATTTTTACTTTCTAGAAATATGTTTCTTGATTTTTTTCACTTATTACTCAGTTGAGCTCTGAAATTTATGTGCAGGTGACAACAGGGTGGTACAAAAAGATTGGAGAAAAGATATGGACACCTTGGTTCATTAAATTTATCCATACTCGTGGTTATTTTAATATCTACACCAATTTTTTACATGAGAGAGCGCTTAGTGTCTCTCACAGGGATGCTGGTGTTAACTATGGGAAAACAGCTGGGCCTGATTCCCATATACTGGATGAAAGTTCTCTTGATTTTGGTGTTTGGGATATGCAACCGTTGAGTGATTTGAGGTGGTATGATTTTTGTTTCAGAGAAATATTTCCCGAAAGAGTTGTTGGGAGCCTTGATGAACTTGGGTCTGTTCTTAATTCTGTGCAGAAACAAGACACTGTTATTATTGTGAGTCTGTTTGGGGTTCCAGAGATGGTAATTAGGAACTTGCTCTGCCACTTTGAGAGTCTAAATTTGTGGCACTATGTACTTATTGGCTCCGAATCTGACTTCCTGTTTGATCTGGCAAGAAGAGGACATCCAGTAATTGGTACAGACCAGTTTCTAAGGAGTGTAGGAGCTTACAAGTTGATGTCTTTCCAGGATTCTAATGTGGAAATGATCAAGGAAGTATTAGTCAAGGCCTATGCACTAAAAAAGTGTTTAGAATCTAGGTACAATATTTGGGTGGTGGATGGGAACATGCTGCCTGTCAACAGTGACCTATTTATTGAATCTCATCCCTCGTATGATTTCTATATAGGGAAGAGCTCGGAGCTTTTCTTTGCCAGAAGATCATCCTCTGCACGAAGTATTGGGGGCAATGATTTTATATCCAAATTTGCAATGATGGTGAACTCTTTGCTAGCCAAAAGACACAGCCTAAGTTTTGGGTATATAATGGCAAAGTTTTTGGAACAGAAGGGTGTGAGGGTTAAGAATCTTGATGAGACAAACTTAGGTCTCAGGATCGGTAACGGTAACGTTAATCAATCCTTAGGGGATGGAAAACAGATGGTATTTTGGTCTAGTGATATGGCTTCAGATTTACTTCAGAAGCGGCTTCAAGAATTGGGTATTTGGATTGTAAATGATGACTTTTCTTGCAAGGCTGTTGTTTGTCACAAGTCATAGCATCTTTTAGCGGTTATACACATTTTATCTCTTCATTTCATTGTAACCTATTTGTATTTTCAATTTTGTTAAAGCTCTTATATTTTTGTGGCTAATTTTTCCCTTAGGCATGATTCTCATTTGCCAAATTTACAGGAGGAGATTTTAGAACCTTCCTGGATGACCGCAGGTAAAGGAAGCCCGTCCATTCAAAGTTGCACTAAACTAGCTAGACCCTTTACTTTTGACTGTGTAAGTATATGTTTACTTACCAAATTGAATGTAAAAGCGTAAATGAAATACGCAAGGAATGGATAGTTTAGTCCAAATATGAGTGTCGAGCAAGTGATTGAGAGTAGTTACACCTACATCCGAAGTTGTGTTTGAATCCTCCTCTAAATATCGCTTATGTCAAAAGAAAAAGAAAAACGACGGTAATGATTTTCGCACTTCAGTTTCATCCATACACACTTCTGTTTTCTGTCATGCACACCTCAGCAGTTTTAGTGGGAAACACTTACAATTGCAAAGCCTCAAAAAGTAGGATCCTTTCTTTTTTTTGAAGGAAAGTACGATACTTTATACAGCCAAAGTGAACGCAACAACTTTACAAAAAGGCCTCACTGTATGTAAATTTCACAAGATCCTATACACTGTTGTTAATATTGGACAGCACTTACTTAAGATCAAACAATAACTCGGATAAGAAAATGATAATGCAAATTAATACCAGAGCATTAAAGAATTTAAGTGGGTCGGCTAGTTGCAAACATTCTTTGAAGACAACGATTAACAAAATGAAACACATCGATCTCAAATCATGAACACTGATATGCATTCTATAGGCATGCATATTTTTGTTTGATACAAAGAGTGTGAAGGGTAAAGGTAAATACTTTACTAGGCCACTAGCTACTAAAGGGTGTGCAAGTTTTAAACTTTTGTGGGACTTTAATGCCATAAGGGAGGATGAGTGAGGGTAAAATCAAATATTTTACTAGGGTACTACTAAAGTGCATGCAGAGAAAATTTTGGGTGGAGCCTTTCTGCCACTTAGTCGGATGAGTGGAAGGAAGTCTTGCCACTTAGTCGGATGAGTGACAGGAAGTCTCGACCCCTGTTTATTCTCTCTATTATGCATATTCTAATTTCAACTAAGATGCAAATTAATAGTTTCCTCACTTCAATATTATTCAAACTTCAGTACTTATGTTTCAGTTGAAAATGGCTTTGACTTACAGATCAATGATATGAGATTCGAACTCTTGTAGCACATTGATAATGTGTGTTTGTGAGAAAATCCTCATCCCTTTGTAGCTTAGATTATCGGTTGCATTGAAAAAAAAATAAAAAAAATCACTACTTGCAAGAACAAGGGTGAAAAACTATGACAAAAATATAGTTTAAAGATGCATACAATTCCACTTGCATGGATTTCATATCTATGAATCTTGCTTTATTGCAATTGAGCAAATCTTTTATACCCAGACACTTAGATACAATCGTATAACTTAGTCTTAATTAAGATTTGTGTAATCATACTAATTTTGGCACCATTTCTGCATTCACTCAAATAAAAAACTTAAAGTAATTCTCAAGAACAGCAATTGGCTCCTTCCCTAATGAAATTCTATCTCAGCAAAAATATCAAGACCCATCCAGCTTTAAATAAACCAAAATGGGACACAACTTATATACAGATCATCATCATCAACTCACTGAGTTTTCAAAATATGACAACAGCCTATTTGTTTCTAGAAACTCTTGGTTAAACAATTGTGCCTTGTAACCCCACATTATGCCCTGAAATTTATCCTAAATCTACTTTGAGATGACACCTGTAAAGTAAAACAAAGCAAAGGGTAGTAGAATAAGGAACCCACATCAGATTTTTATAGCTTAAGGTTAAGCACAGATGACATTGACATGCTCAGCTATTAAAATAAGTTTTAAGAGGGTTCACTTTTCTTGATTATCCGTACTAAGCACGGATTAGCATTTGTCTCTAGGAATGTTAATTAACAATTAAAAAGGAAAAGAATAAATCAGATGTGATGATTCGGTGCTAAAAAACGTGTGAGTATCTCATGCCTAATTTGTGTCATTGTACAATGAAGACTATCGAGTTAAGAAACATTTTACAGTTGCTGCACTATGAAAATTATCGAGTGTAGAAGCACTTTATTGCACAACCCAACGAGAGAGAGAGAGAGAGAGAGAGAGAGCCACACGTGGGCCTTGATGATGTTGCAAAATCATTAGTCCCTTCAAAATGTACCACGTGATCATACTATTATAGTATTTTATAATTTCTTCTTCATGATAATAGCCCCAAAGTATATTTAAATGATTTAATTTCAGATTTAATTGTGATTACATTGAAACAATCTCCTTAAGAAGTAAATCCAGCACCTGGTGCAAGCCCGTTGGCCCTCTAGTAATTTTCAAGTTAAGAAAGTTCAAACACACTTATTTCGACAGTGAATTTTTTTAAATTATGCTTAATTAGCATGCTATGGAGCTACTAGTTCTTCTTGTCCAAATGCATAAGCTCTACATACGTGGCCTCACGCCATGGGATCCTTCATCTATCTTTTGTCTCACTTTAGCATCCAACACTTTAATTTCAACTAAAAGATTTGGATTCTTACTAGAATATGTCACCCAATACAATAGCAAACTTTTGGTTTCCCCAAATGCCAATGTTTGAGTGAAATATTTTTAACCACACGATTGAAACAACTCGTACACTTGATTGGTAGTTGACAAAAGTTAGGTTGAGTTATCTATGTGTGCATTGATGGTTGTCAGTTGTTGATGCATTATGAGACTTATTTGCATTAGTGATTAATAACTACTTATGTGCGTAGGCAACAATCACTAGCACATATCTTGTAGTTCATTTTTTATATTAGACATGAGCGACTTTCAACCGTTGATGCATCAAGAATGATTGTCGCTATCAAATGTCTTCTAGTTGATTCTTGGTGTAAAATATCACACATTAAAGGTGAGGATAGAGATGATGATAAAGAGACAAAAAGAAATCATGGAACAATCTCAGACAAATCACAAATGGATATAAGCGTGGCAGAGTGGTTCTGTCATTACAGATCTGATGATGGAATTTGCGAGAGATCAGATTACCCGTACCTTAATTAAAAAAGTCGAAAGCATGGGGAGGATTTGAAAATGACAGTAAATTGACTGATGGAACAAAGTAGGGGGCTAATGGTTATTCTGCAGATATATAAATATGCAACCAAACATGAGCAAAAATGCCATAAGGTTTCTGAAGCCGTAACTTAATAAGCTAAACAAACACATAACGAAATTCTGTGGTTTTGACATGTATTTGGGGATGATGGCAGGTCATCATATGGGTTGGGGTATAATAGAAGAAGAGGGTTGGAGAAAGGGACCTTGGACTGCTGAGGAAGATGGGTTGCTTATTGAGTATGTAAAGCTTCATGGTGAAGGAAGATGGAACTCTGTGGCTAGGCTTGCAGGTATTTATAATTACAGCTTAATTCTTAATTAGATGCAGTTTGTATCATGTCTAATTAGGGTTAACAAAAGCATAAAAATTGTACACTTTGATTATACAGGACTGAAAAGGAATGGAAAGAGTTGCAGATTGAGATGGGTGAATTACTTGAGGCCAGAACTCAAGAGGGGGCAGATAACTCCACATGAAGAGAGCATAATTCTAGAGCTACATGCTAGATGGGGGAATAGGTATGTCTTCTTCTTCTTTTTTGTTTTATTTAGTTTGATCTTTTTCCTGTTTTAGTGAGCTTAGTTTCTGCTTTGAAAAAAATTCAGGTGGTCAACAATTGCAAGAAGCTTGCCTGGAAGGACTGACAATGAGATCAAGAACTACTGGAGAACCCATTTCAAGAAAAAGGCAAAAGTGCCTTCCGATGCCTCCGAAAAGGCGAAAAATCGCTTCTTGAGGAGGAAGCAATTTCACAATCAGCAACATCAGCAGCAGCAGCAACAACAACATTTACAAGTGAATCAAGAAGAAGTGAAAAGAATCATGGCCTTGTTGGATGAAAATAATGACACTAAAATACCTTGCTTCTGGCCTCAAGTGAAGCAAGGCATGGAGACTATAAGTATATATCCTCATCACACAACTGATCATCAGGAGCAAGGCTTCTACTATTCCATGCTCAATGGAAATGTGTCTGTGCCTGAAGCCTCCAATAACGAGGAGAATTTTCTGTGGGATGGTTTGTGGAACTTAAATGATGTCCATGGCAATTTTAGCTCAACATGTGCAACAGGAAAAGCTAGCTAGTTTGCACAATTTGTGTGTTCCCTTATGTTAAATCTGATCAATCTTTGGTTTTGCAGGTGTAATGTTAATAGCTAGAGTTCTTTAGTGTCATCAAAATGTCACTAGCTTAAAGTATGGAGTTGCAAATTTTCATAAAAGGCTAAACTTTCGGCCTTTTAATTATGTTTTGGTTGCTTAACACCAATAAATATGGTTCCCTTGGTTGGTAGCCAAAATTTTCTCTTTTTTGTTGCTTGTCTATACTTTCTAAGAATAATCAAATTGAAGGAGCATGTTTCTCCGAAGGGAAAGTGTTAAAGACAGATTGAGCAAGAAATTAAGGAGAAATTATTGACTCCGGCGAAGGACAGCATCACTCGTTCATCCACACACAAACAAAAACAAAAAACAAACTATATATTTATACATGAAATTCTTTTTTATGTATGTGACTAGATGAGTGATGTGTTCCACCCACCGGACAAAAGATGAAAAAAATCACTCACTCAATCAACCCTTTTTGTTTTTTTGGATAAATTCACTCAATCAAACCTAAGTTGTACTTTGAAAAACACGGAAGAGCACATGACATCTTAAATACTTTTTTAGATTAGTACTAGGCTAGCTTAGTCGTGTCAAGCTTTTAGTGACATATTTGTCTTCATATTCTTTATGCTCTTGTGAGAGAAAATATGCAATCCTAGTGTATCATTTATTTATACTACAAGGGTCTTGTCCTGTATCAAGATAAGAACTAGGTTCTTTTAGTTGTGCTTATTTTTTTATGTTATCTTCTGTGACTTCCTCATTATCCAATTGGACATCCGTCCTTTAGATGAACTATAGCAGACAGTAAATTAACTTTGCCTATAGTGCAAAACTCGTCTCTAATTCGACTTTCATCATGGTCTATGTAATTTTAATTGTAAGAATATAAGTCATATTTTTACTTACTTTACACAAACCCTTATTTCTGGTAATTGATTGGATGAACTGGCAATGTGTCGAGTACACATAAATTTTTTACTTACATTACATAAACCCTAGTGAAAATCAAACCAAATTATATTCGCCCAAAATGGCCACTTCGTCTACTCAATTGACGGAAATAAGAATTTTACTTGTAATGTCAAATAATTACATGGGTAACTCATAAGAATTTTATGGTCATAAATATCAAATAACAACATGGGTCTCTAACGTCCCTTGTGAAGAGGGGATTATAATAAGTCAAAATATTCGTAAGCCCAAACATTTCAAGGCCCAAAGTCCACCTTAGCCCTGGGCCCAGACGTTAGCAACCCAATAGAGTTTCAAACCCCCTCTTCTCACTCTTTCAGTTCTGCAACTCTCGCATTGTCGGTGGACGTTCCCTTATTCTTTTCTGTTTACTTCAATCAACTTCTCCTGCTGGTCTCGTGGGTGAGTGTAAAAGGTGAAACGGCAAAGCTCACATGCCGTTTGATTGACAGAGCCACATAGTTTTCGAAGCGGGCTGAAGGTGATGGCAGGGCACTAATTTTTATCTGCAGTGCTTTTTAAAGACTCCGTGCTTAATGAACCTCTCGTCTGCACGCAAAACATTTACCCTCATAACCTCACGCTATTACACTTGTGCCACTGTGCTCCACCAGCCTTTGAACCTCCACCATTTTCTTCAGCTTTCGGTTACCCACCACTCTCTTCCACTCACTCAACAAGCTCACGCTCAAGTTCTCACTCATGGCCTCCAACAAAACCCTTTTCTCGCCACAAAGCTCATCTCTGCTTACGCTCTTTGTGGAAACCCAACCAAGTCGAAACTCGTCTTCCACTCTGTTGAGCTCAAGAGTATGTATTTATGGAACTCATTGATTAATGGGTATGTGAGAAATTGTGTTTATAGTAAAGCTTTTGAGCTGTTCGAAGAAATGTGTAACTGTAATGTATTGCCGGATGATTATACCTTAGCGACCATAGCCAAAGTTTCCGGCGAGGTTCAGGACTTGGTTGCCGGGAAATCTGTTCATGGGAAGAGTATAAGAGTGGGGTTTGTTTTGGATACTGTTGTTGCCAATTCTCTGATGTCTATGTATTGTAAATGTGGGAATTTTAGTGAATGTAGGAAAGTATTCGAGGAAATGCCTCAGAGAAACGTGGGGTCTTGGAATGCGATAATAGCAGGATATGCAAGTTCCTTGGATCATGGTTCTGATAAGGAAATTTGGGAAATTGCTAAATGCATGCTGATGAATGGGGTGAAACCTGACGGGTTTAGTGTTTCAAGTCTTTTGCGTTTGTGTGGAGGTGATGATATTGAGAAATGGGATTATGGTAGCGAACTTCACTGTTATATTATTAAGTATGAATTGGATTTAAAGTGGGGTTCAGATGTTCATCTCGGGTGTTGTTTGATTGATATGTATTCTAGGAGTTATAGAGTTGATTTGGGTAGACGGGTATTTGACCGCATGAAGTGTAGAAATGTATATGCTTGGACTGCCATGATCAATGGTTATGTGCAGAGTGGAGCTCCCGATGAAGCATTGGTTCTTTTGCAAAAGATGCAGGTCGAAGATGGAATACAACCCAATAGAGTATCCCTAGTAAGTGTCCTTCCTGCTTGTAGTTCACATGCTGGTTTAATGCGTGGGAAACAAATTCATGGGTTTGCTATCAGGAAGGAAATGAATCATGATGTATCGTTATGTAATGCTTTGATCGATATGTACTCGAAATGTGGGAGCTTGGATATTGCAAGGCGAGTCTTTGAGGATGATTCTTTTTGTAAGGATGCAATCTCTTGGAGTTCAATGATTTCAGGATATGGTTTACATGGAAGAGGTGGGGAAGCCATTGTTTTATATAGTAAGATGCTTCACCTTGGAATCAAACCAGACACAATAACTATAGTTGTGATCCTTTCCGCTTGTGGCAGGTCAGGACTGGTAAACGAAGGCCTTTCCATCTATAGCTCTTTATCAACTGATTTTGGAATTAAACCAACAGTGGAGATCTGTGCTTGTGTGGTGGATTTGTTAGGCCGATCAGGAGACCTCGATGGAGCATTAAATTTCATCAAAATGATGCCTGTAGAACCTGGTCCAAGTGTTTGGGGGTCTTTAGTTTCTGCTTGTTTGTTGCATGGGAATCGTGACATGCAAGATCTAGCTTACAGGTTCCTTATTCAACTAGAACCCAAAAACCCGTCAAATTATATTTCGCTATCGAACTTCTATGCTTCTTCTCGGAGGTGGGACGTTGTAGCTGAAATGAGAAGAATGATGAAAGAAAGAGGTTTGAAGAAGGCACCTGGGTGCAGCTGGATAAGCATTAATTCCAAGACTCATTGTTTCTATGTTGCTGATAAAGCACATCCTTGTTCTAATTCGATCTATCAGATGCTTGGCTACCTTATCTTAGTGATGAAGGGAGCCAGCTATTCTGATGATTTTGAACATCCAGCATAGATTCTTTTTATATTGGTTGATACTTTGCAGACCTTACTACAGTTAGGGACAGGATTCGTACTACAAGTACCATTTAGTGATCTAATGATTGTTGTTAGTTGCTTACACAACCTTGTAATTTTTTTTTTCTTGTTCTTTACTAGATTCACGTCTTCCTAATGTAAGTAATCTAAGAGTCTCATCTGGCTTATATGCAACGGGTGTATACTATGTTCATCTCACAATAGTTGGTCATGTGGCCTGCTTGTGAGGGGCGATTTGTGACAAGCGTGTATACACCCATTGTATTGGATGTAGGATTTTTCCATCCGTAACTAATGGTTTGGCAATCCTAATAACAAATTTTACGACTGGTGAAACCAAATTCCAATGGCTTTTCAAGGAATCGGGAAATCTGTTGATGCCGATTATGGTCATCAAGTGAGGGCGGGGTACGTACACTGAAGTTGCCCGGAGAAATAGTAGTCGTGTGAGATAGAACTGCAAAACCCTTGCCCGTTTGAATAAATTAATAGACAGGAACTTTCTTGCAAGTGGTGAGTATAATTAACGACTCAAACTCATAGTTCGAGAAAAATAAAAACTTGTTAAAGATAAAATGATTAAATTATACAACTTGCACCAGTTATGGAAAAATAATTTATTTGAAGATTCCTGAAGGTTGTCTGGTGTGCGCGATACATTATAATTTAGAACAAGGTGGTCAGAAAACGACAAAGTTGATGAGTTCTTGTTGGCTGCAAAGTAGATCTGGAGGTTTAGTAGTTGTTTTCGTTTTGGCGAAGAGAGAGTAAGTAGTGGAGAGAATGGCTGAGGCAGTTGTTTCCTTTGTGCTCGAAAGTGTAAGAGACTTCACCATTCAGGAAGCCAAGTTCTTGTCTGGAGTCAGCCATCAAGTTGAGGTCGCACAAACTGAGCTACAATTGATGCAGGGCTTCCTCAAAGATGCAGATGCAAGACAAGGGCAAGATGAAACAGTCCGTATTTGGGTTGCCAAGATTAGAGATGCTGCTTATGATTTGGAGGATGTCATCCAAACTTATGGCTTGAAAGTGGTTTCCAGGAAGAAAAGAGGTGTGAAGAATGTTTTGAGAAGATTTGCCTGCATCTTCATGGAAGGGGTTGATGTTCACAGGATTGGGAAAGAAATTGAGAATATCACCACCAGAATTTCTGAGTTGAGGTCGAATTTGCAGAAGTATAACATAAAGGAACTAACAACGGACAGAGACGGTAGTGATGGTGAATCTTCCTTGCAATTGCAAGAGAGGCTAAGGAGAGCTCGTTCTCATGTTGTTGAACGCGATGTTGTTGGATTAGAGTCCAACGTTGAAGAACTGGTTATGCATTTAGTGAAAGATGAAAATCGTCATCGAGTTGTATATATTTGGGGGATGGGCGGTTTAGGGAAGACCACTCTTGCAAAACAACTTTATCATCACAAAGAAGTAAGGCAGCATTTTCATAGTTTTGCTTGGGTCTGTGTATCTCAACGTTTTCAAGTAAGAAATGTTTGGGAAGGAATTTTAATTGAACTCATTTCTGCTACCAAGGAACAAAAACAAGAAATGGAGGACATGACAGATAATGAAATAGCAAAGAAGCTTTTCCTTGTTCTGCAAGAAATGAGATGTTTGGTGATACTTGATGACATATGGAGAATCGAGACATGGAATCTTTTGAAGGATGCATTTCCAAATGTGAAAACAGTTCAATGAGAATGAGAGTTGGAACCTACTTGAGAAGAAAGCAATACCTGAAAGGGCTGATATCGGTATTTTCTCACATTTACTCTTTTCTTTTCCAGGTTCTTAGTTACATAGAAACCATTACATTGCGTCAAACATGTAGCAATTGCAATTTTATAAACTGCCTTACTTGATCACCCATTTGTTAGGTAGCAGATGATTTATCTTATACAATTGCAAATAATAATCAGGACAATTCAAAATTTTCTCCCAACCTTCTCTTCAATCCGAACATATCCCAAACTTTTTTGTGCTGGTCCAGATTTAATTTTGAATGTTTTCCATTTGTAATGTGTTATAAAATCCAAACTTATAATAAGACAAAGGATATTAGTAAATTTTGGAATTTCACAATTTTAATTTTTAATCATTCGAGCGAAGGGATACGATACCACAATTGCTCATACTACAAGAATGTATTTGATTTTTATTTATTTCTTATTTTTCAGATTTGGGAATTTTCACAAAGAAGCGAGAATTAGGAATGAAGATGCTTCGATACTGTGCAGGCTTGCCATTAGCCATTATTGTGCTTGCCGGAGTTCTAGCAAGAAAAAACACCGTTAGAGAGGGGGAGAGAGTGCATGAGAATGTTCATGAATACATAAGGAGAGCGATAGGTCATGACGAAGAATATGAAGGTGCATCATGGGTTTTGGCATTGAGTTATGATGACCTACCATATTACTTAAAACCATGTTTTTTATATTTAGGTAATTATCCCAAAGACTCTGAGTTTTTGGTAAGCGAATTGACTAAGTTATGGGTGGCAGAAGGTCTTATCTCCTTGAGACAACAAAGACATGGTTCGAGAGAAACAATGGAGGATATAGCACGTGATTGTTTAAGTGAGTTGGTGGAAAGGTGTTTGGTTCAAGTGGGAACAAGTGGTTCAACTGGAACAATTAAAGGTTGTCGAATCCATGATCTTGTACGAGACATGTGTTTGTTAAAGGCAAAAGAGGAAAGCTTTCTCCAGATTAACAATTCTTTGCAAGAAAATACTTCTGTTGTGGCAGCCGAGGAAGCACAATTGGGGAAAATTCGAAGACATGCAATTTACTTGGATAAGAACGCGGATAGGTTAGTTTCTTCAAGAGATGAAACAAATAGGCACGTACGGTCTCTATTATTCTTTGGCCTAGAAGAATGGATGGCAAAAAGTGAAAAAGGATTACTATCTCAGTTGAAGGATTTCAAAGTGCTTAGAGTTTTGAAGGTTGAAGGTCTTGATGAAGTAGAAGTAGAGTTGCCAAGTGAAATTGGAAATATGTGATTAAAATAAGCTCGATGGCGGAACCGTAAATATTTCGAAGAGTTTGGTAAAAATCAGATTTTCAGTTTTTACTCCTCACTTCCTCTCTCTCTCCTCCCGCGCGCACAGCTCTCTCTCTCTCTCCCCGACACCGACTCTCTCTCTCTTCGATTCTCTCAGCTCCGGCAACGGGAAGGGCCGGCACCGGTCCCGTTCGACTCGTCTCGAAGCCCCGATCACAACCCACCCCATTTCCCCGCCGGAAACCTCGAATCCCGACGTCAGTTCCGACTGGTTCAAACCGGAGTTTTCACAGCGTTGCGCCGCCGTCTTCGTCGTCCAACTCTGGTGAACTAGGTGAGGTTTCTTCTCCTTTTTACGTGCTCTAGCTGATTGTGGGGTAGGTTTGGATCGATTTTGAGTTTTGGAACCGAATTGGAAACCTAGGTTTTGGCCGGTTTTCAATTTGAAATTCCGGCCAGTTCCCGTACGAATTGGACCTCGTGGTAGTTAAATAAAGTGATCATGACCTTGAGAAGAAGCTAGGGTAGGAAGGGTGAGTGTTGGTGTGGAGATTTTCCGTCGCCGGAAATTTCTCTACACACCCACGCGCTGCCGGCGCGTGTGGCGGCGCGTGGGCAAGGCTGGTGAAGTTGCTTTTCATCCTGACGAGATCCTTAGGTTGTCACGAGTGCGTAGGATTTTACGGATCTCAATTTGGATGTCGTTTGACTATCGAACGGATTTCGCATATTGTGCGTTAT